CCTTAAGCTTTATCTACCAATATCCTAAGTGGATTCCTTGATTGTTAGCAGAGACCTAGAATTTGGGAGAAAAGGGAATAACTTGTAAAACAGACTTCTCTTACCTCATGGTTTTGCCAGTTTTGTCAAGCTCTAGAAAATTAGAGGTTCCAGCATGCCTGTATCCCAGTGGTTCTCAGAGTGTGGTCCCTGTACCAGCAGGATCAGCATCACCTAGGAACTTGTAAGAAATGCAAATTCTCAGGGCTCAACTACAAAACAAGAAATTCTGGGTTTGTGGCCCAACAACGTGGATTTTAACAAGTCCTCTAGGTAGTTCTAATGTAGGCAAAGTTTGAGAATCTCTGCCTATCCTAACCCTATTACGACTGCACCACTGCATAAAGTGATACATTATTTTACATAGTTACACTTAGATTATTAACATCCATGTGAGTGTATTCTCCAGTTTGCAGGAAGGAGTGGGGAGGCTACCAGTTTGGCTATTTTTATCAAGTGTCTTGAAATTCCTAATCTGTCTTTAACTCCCTCTTCTACATTAGGCACATCACTTAATATATCTGCTTAAATCATCCCAGTCCCACAAAATAACAAAGCAACTATGCCCTTTATTATAGTCCCTTTTAGCACTAACTTTCTATGTTTTGCTTTCCATGTTCATATCAATCCATATCCAAGTAATCATTAGAATAGCAGGAGGGATTAAGGAAAGGCTAGCTTTCCAAATAGATCAGACTAGAAAAAATAAGCGCTACTTCTCAGGCAAATATAAGAAGACCAAGAAGTATTACTGGGGGAAAAAAAGGTTCTCTAGGGAAATGCAGGCTTTCTGCTTATATAAATTCTGTGTAACTTGATGAAGAACAGGAAAAACAAGAGGGGAAATAAGTGAAACACCTAGAAACTCTCCAAGGGAGGTTAACATTGATTTCCTGCTCTACCAGTCAGAAATCATCACAGTGAGCTTTAGATGACTCAAACTACTTAAATCATTTGCATAAAGAACCTTGGTCTTCTGGGTTTCTTTGGGGGAAACAGACTTGACAGTGAGGCTGCATCTTGCCTTTCATGATTAACCGTGCTGCTTGCACAGTGCTTTCACAGACATTACATCATGTAAGTCTCGCATTAACCCACCCACGTTAGTGATATTTTCCCTATTTTACAAACAAGCGAAAAGGAAGTTATGGAAGGAAACGAGTTACGCAAGCTCATGAAAATTAAGTGTGGAATGGCTGGGCCAAGATCAGTCCAAGGCCCTTACCTTTGCAGTCTAGTGTTTTTTCTACCGTTTGGCCTTCAGATCTGGGGTGGGTGGTGGAGAGAAGGTGGACCAGCATCCTATATTTTTCTTTTTCATACATTTTCCTTACCTTCCCTCAGGCTGCTGTCAAAAGGGCACTAGGTTTGATGTTGAGAGACTGAAATTCTAGTCCTGAGTCTGCCAAAGGAGGCTGGTTGGTCTCAGACAGGTGTCACTTATGCTCTCTGGGCCTCAGGCATCCCCTTGTTATTTCCAACTGTCTCAACAATAGCATGGAAAATAAAATCAGAATATCTATTGGTTGATTTTTACATTTAGATAGAGGTTTTGGACTGCAGCTGGGGCTTGAAGAGGTGAGAAAAGGCAAGCAAAAGTCCCGCAGTATCTTTGAGGACTGATTCCAGAACCAGCCCCTCCACCTCCCCATCCACTCACTTCACCTTCCTGCCCCCAGGATACCAAAATCGGTGGATACTCAAGTCTCTTATGTAAAATGGCCTAGTATTTGCATATAACCTATGCACACCCCCATCCCACCCCCGTATTGTATTTTTTTGAATTAAATATCTAGCTTTATTAAATATAGTCTGACACAAATCAGAAAATGATCCTTTGATTATAAAGATACTTGGTGTTCAGGCATAACCAGAAAAAAAAATCAAGAAGTCAAATATGTCCAAAGCCAAACGATTTCTCACTTCCTTTTTTGTATTCTACTTTTGTTTTTTTTTTAAAGGAAATGAATTGGCATATATATTTATGAGTACAAAAAAGAAACCCATTTTGCTAGGAAATGGTTATTTTCTGAATCTCTGTGCTGTGTATAGAGCAGGCTGAAGTTTGTGCACATCTAGCATGTTGGTATTGAAAAGCTACTCAGAGTGCTGCAAACAAAACCACCACTGCACAAGAGGCCCAGGTGCTTGTGGACTGACAGATCTCACTCCGATCTAACTCCACATTCTTACATCCGTTGTGGCCTCCCTGGGAACTCCCACATGTGGGTTTAAGGAGAAAACCACTCCCTAATGGGAAAATGAGGATCTAAAAGGAACAATAATTTCTGAAAATAATCTGGGAGGTTCACAAGATAAGCCACTTCCCTAATTAGGAGACTATCCATAAAGGAGGAATGACCATCTGGACTTCACGTGGAGTCTTTCAAGGCACCCTGAAAGCCCACTCTAGGGCACAGCCTTGGGGTTGTAGGAGGTAGCGGTGCCCTCTGACTCCCGCGACCGCTGAACACAGCCCAGGGGCCTTCTTCTCATCAAAATTCATTTTTTGCCTCTGATTTTCCATCTATCAAATCTCCAAATCCCAGTTTTTCTAGTGGTTCTTGAGCCATCAGTTGCCTGTTCATTCTGCGTTCTAAATATTGTTTTGATTGATTTCAGCACAAGGCATTTTCAACATTATTGTCACAGAGACACTTAATGAATTTCTCTTTAAAGCTTTTACATTCACCGAAGTGACCCAGCGGGAAGCTGCCCTTGTCGGGCAACCGCGACTGGAAGCTCTTGGTCCCAACCCCCTCTCCCCCCCATATATTTTAAATCATCTCTGAATTACTTATAATACCTAATACAATGTAAATGCTATGTAAATAGTTGTTACACGGTATTTTTATTTGTATTATGTTTATTGTTAATTTTTTTTCAAATATTTTTGATCCACGGTTGCTTGAATCCCTGGATAAGAAACCCAAGATACTTCTGAAAAGATACGAGAAAACAGACCTTTGAAAGTTCAGAGTAAGTGTTTAGGGTGTGGAGTTGAGATAGGCTGAGAGTTCAGAGTAAGTACTTAGAGTGTGGAGTTGAGATAGGCTAAGCTCAACTCCATTTACGACCCTTCTTGGTCTCTGAGAGTGCTTAGATGTGACTCCTGAAAGCTCAAATATTTTGGCTTTTCAGTTTTGTCTTGGTGAAAGGAATGATGATGTGGAATACACATCGTTGTAGGAACCACACGATCAATAAATTTAAGAATCTCTCATGTACATCTAGACTTATTTATTCTGAAATCTCTGAATTCTGATCCCACTGTTCTGCTAAACAAATAATTTGCTGTCCTGTTAGAATCTGAGAGTCAAAAGTATGTGAAAGTTCAAACATGGTCAGCGATTTTTTTTTTAATGGATCGATGTGGTAGGATTGGTGGCTTTGTTTTTACTGCCTTCTAGAACCAAGAAAATCCTTATCTATATCATTCATTCAATTAATGCCTTTCATGCCTTTTAGGGGTAAGTTGACCTAGTTCCTTTAACGTTTGTCTGCATGCCTGTCTGTCTCTTTTCCTCTCCCAGGAAATTGAGAAGCACTGACTCATGTGTGCCCCTATCTTAAAGTAAGCCAGTTTATCAATAGTTATCAAGTTCAGCATGTCCATAAGCAGGCCTCATCTGGAACACTAGAATCTGATGTCTAGACAGAGTATAGGAAAATTTGCTTCCAGAACAAGTGTGGTAAAACTATAAACACAGAGGTGGACAAGTGAGGTGGTGTAGAGTAAGGCAAGAGAGAAAAACAATAGAAATGATGGTCCAAAACACTGAAATTTGGGAAAGGGATGGAAAGAAATGAGAGAGTTGGAATAGCAGAGTGCTTGTGAAATTGACAGAGAACATAGCGATTTGCCGTTCCCTCTGTTACAATTTACATAGGCAATTTTGGGATTTTCAACCAGCATTTTTAAAAATATGATATACCATGGAATAAAAATACAGAAGGCATACCATGGAAGGACCAATATTGTTTTGGAAACATTTTTCAATATATGTAAATATATATAACTATTTTTTATAAACATGTATAAAATAAATATGCACACACACACTCACGCCCAGGTTTGTTTTGTAAACTATTTTGGACTGTGGGTCTTGGTCCAAAGTTTGAAAGCCCCTAGAACACAAGACCCAAAAAGATTCTGGCAAGGTAAGTTCAAGGTCAAGTGAGAGTCCCTTTTCTCTCCCTCTGCCATCCCAAGCAGTTAATGAAGAAGAGGAAATGGCGTGTGGGGGAGGGGACACCAGCGTGAGGCCAAGCAAGGAGCAAGAGCACGTCAGGACAGGGAGGTGCCGGGAGCCTTCCGCCTGAATGGTCGATTAAGGAACTTGAGGAGGTTAATTTTGAGTGTTTTCCTTAAATGCTAAACCGAAAAAACTTTCGCGTTCACCGTCCCCGAAAGGCCTACAAAAGTGAGGGATTCGCTTTGCTCCCTGAGGTGACCCTACAAGGGATCAGTCCCTGTAAAAGGAATTATTCCTATTATTATCAGGGGCCAAGTGCGGGGAGGTGGGCGGGGCGTGGGAAGCGCGGGAATGCCGGGCCGGGCGGGTCCACACAGAGACTCACGTCGTGTTCTGCAAAGCCCACCGGAGGGAACAAGCAGTTCTGCACTTTGGGACCCATCCACAGGGGACAGCCCCAGGGCACGGGTGGAGGTGAGCTCTTTCCGCCGGCCAGTGACGCTCCCTGCCAATGGGCAGCACCCACCTCCATCCCCAGCCCTGCAGCTGGCTTTGCTGTCTGCTCGCCGGCTTCCCACGTGACCTAATCCGTGGGCCACCGCCTCCACCGCTCCCAGGCCCCGCCCCCGTGACGTCTCACCGCGCTCCGATTGTCCAAACGTTCAGCCTCTTTCCGCGTTCGTTAATTGGCCAACCGGGCAGACAGCGCCCCCCCTCCGCCACGCCCCCGGAGCCGTGGGGAACGCGGCGGGGGGGCGGGGCCTGGGCCCGCGGGGCGGGGTGAGAAGGCTGCGCGCGGGTAAAGGGGCCGCCTTAGCGCGGTCCGAGCGTTCAGGGGACGCGCGCCGCCTCGCTCTCCCGACTCGTCACCCGCCCCTCCCCCACCCGACGCCGTCACGCGGGAAACCGGTCGCAGTCGCCGGCCGACTTGAAGCTGGTTTCATGGCAGCCGCGAAGAAAGCAGTTTTGGGGCCGTTGGTGGGGGCAGTGGACCAGGGCACCAGCTCGACGCGCTTTTTGGTGAGCCCAGGGTGACATCTGAAGAGGCTCTGAGCCGGGGCTGGAGCCCGGGAACGGAGGGGCTGGCTGTCACGTCCCCATCCTGTCCCTCTCCCGCCTGCGGCCCCCGGCCGCTGGGCAAGGGAGGGAGGCCGGAGCGGGACCTGCCACGCTTTGGCTGCCCCACCCGGGCCTGGGGATCTCGGCCTCCCGCGACCCCCGCGGTCGAGTTGAGCAGTCTCAGCCTTGGTGGTGGGGCTGTGTCACTTTCTAATGGGGGGACTCTTCCCCCAAAGGGAGCTAGGACTCTCCGAGCATCCGCACAGAGCGACCCGCCTGCAGCAGGGGACAGGTGGCCACACTGACCACTGCAGCGGTCTTCCCCAGGAGCATTTGGCCTGCGAGGCTCAGGACGTCCTTGGATGGGGGGAAAGCTGTGTCACGGCTGTGGTAGTCTAACACAGCGTCCTTTCCAGCAGTAGACGAATAAAGTATTAGCGTGATGATGCGTTGTCATCCTCTCCCACAGAAGGGAGGGTTGAATACTGAGGGAGGTGGCAGAACAAATTAGGAAACAGTCACACTATATTGCTTTTGCCAGAATCTTTATTTAATTTCAAAGACTCACAAATTTCAGTTCTGATACTTTGCCCATTACAAACAAATGATTGTCCTCTCTGCTCTTCACAGCATAATGTGAGAGGAAAATTCTGTTTCATTTTATTTATCATGTATGACAGCAGAGTTTTACCATTTAAAAAGTACTGTTTAAGTGACTCTGCTGATTAATTTGTTTTGTGCAATTAAGAAACTTGCTTTTAAAGTGAGCTAGCACTGAATTCAGTAAGATAATTTAAAAGTAATTTAAATGAGTGCTTGGTGGTAAAAGCCCATGCTTTCAATGGACATTTGAACAACCTGGCAAGCTGATGTTAATATTTAGTGATTATTTAGCTCCCTCTTCTTTACCTCAAATCATTTTTTCCTGCATTATTTAGTATGTGTATGTATATATATACACATATATACAAATATATATGTGTATATCTATACATATACCTTATATATACACACAACATATATATTTTTTCAAAGTTCGGTTTAGCGGGCACTTGACTAAAAACTGCTTTTGTGCTTTGATCCTGACAAAAGCGCCTCTAAAGTGAGAAGCTTTTAATCCAATTTTAGTTTGAATCTTATTTAATGACTTACCCCTGGTTTGAGCTGCCAAGACATAGTTCTATCATCTCTTGGATTGTTTATCTTTTGATCACCCAGGGCAGGTTTCACTTTGTCTTATATTCATATAAATGTTTATAAAGTAATACTGAATCATAAGTAAGAAAGTCTGCTCAACTGGATTTCATTAATATATAAAATACACACTCTCATTACCGTCTTCCTAACTTAAGAAAGACCATTAAGACATGCGTGCCAGCTAACTGTGGGTTGATTTTAAAGCCATATTCAAGAATTGCCCACACAAGTACCTGCAGGGACCAGGCAGGTAGAAATGGGGAAGCAGACTGGAGAGATACTCAGACCAAGGGGATAGCCAGCAGTTGCTGAGGAGGAATGCAAAGCCGGATCTTCAGATTCTTTAAGTAAAGCTGGTAGTCTAGAGTTTTCTATGAAATCTTCTGATTTTTAAATGTTGGCAACTTGTTCACAGAGCATTGTGGAGGCCAAACCAAGCATGACAATTGTTCTCAAGTGTCTATAGCTTTTGCTCTATATGAAAGTGGGTAAAATATTTCATAACTTTGTAGGCTTCATTTTTAGGAGTCAGCCTGATTGTCCTTACCTTCTTTTTCACTCTTTATTATTGCTGTCCTTGTAGCCCAGCAATCTTCTTTATCTACTGCAGGTTGTTCCTGGTCCCTCAGATTCTGGTGCCCCAACGATATCTTTCTACAGTGATGAAGAAGGAATTGATCAACTTCATATTACCACAATTAGTTGTTCTGTGTGTGACAGGAACAACATGAGCCTTCAAAAATTGAGTCCTGTTTACTGGGCTCTATATAACATGATCTCAATGAGTAAGCTAAGGTGCAAATTCAGAAGATTCCCATCCTGCTTAGAGTACGCTATCTAAAAGTTGATCCATAAACTTGCCTGCTCCTTGAGAAATAACTATGAAAGAATGCTCTAGAGGCAGGTAAAAGACTTAGAGATCCTGCCTGGAGTAGAGAAAAACTTGGGAATGGTTTAGCAAGGTGTTTTTTCCCTTTGGTTATAAGGAAAGAGGTTGCTAAACCATTCCCTGAGAAATGCAGATAAAAGATTTGCTGAATAAGTGCTTCAATCACAAGATGATTCCCAGGAGTTATTCCAGTCATATTTTTCCACGTTGTAATTATGACTCAAAAAATAATTGCTTACCTTCTCAGGAAAGAATAAAGAGGATAAGAACTGTCATAACGAAGCTTATAAAGTTAAAGATATTTAAATAATTTCCTGGCCATTATTCATTAAATTTGCATATATAACTCAGCTTTCACAAGACCAATAACCTCTCCAAACTTTCTTCTCTCTTTTTCTCTGCTAGCAATATTAGCTTTCTCCCATAAGGAGAAAAAGCTTCATTCATGCTTTTTCATCTGAGGGAAATGCCTCTGCCACTATCCCCCATATTCGCTTCTTGAAATTCTATTATACCTCTAAATAGTGGCTCAACTACCATCTCTTATTATAAGTCTTCCTCAACCCTTAGCCAGAATTTTTCCCCCTTCCTATAGCATTTTTTTGTACCTATGTTAATAACTCTTATCACCTCCCTTGTATTATAATTGTATACCTGCTGAACTTGGGAGCAGAGACCTCCTTTTGAGTCATTTATCATGTTGCCCAAGATGTTTTATGGAATACAAAGATGAACAAGACTTAAAGACTGCTCAGGAAGTACTTTATATATTTTTATTGAATAGATTTTTATTTCTCTTTAATAAGTCAACAGAATTTTAATTCTGGTTTTCTTTCTTACCTTGCCCAAAAAATCTTAAAACTTCTGACTTGGGTATGTTTAATTACTTCATTTCTTCTATTTTAGTAGTAAACCTGTAATTTTGGAACATGGTAATTTCTTTGTCAGACTGTCAAAGTATTAATCTTAGGAGCCTATGCATATGCTTTGTACTAAAGGAAAATTTCTAATTTATCTGATAAGGAAAGTGAATCAGGATTGGCACGCGGTTACTCAGATTGCAGAGTAGGAACTTCTTGGAAAGAGAATTAGCGTAACAGGTTTTTTTTTTTTTTGAGACAGAGTCTTGCTCTGTTGCCCAGGCTAGAGTGCCGTGGCATCAGCCTAGCTCACAGCAACCTCAGACTCCTGGGCTCAAGCAATCCTTCTGCCTCAGCCTCCTGAGTAGCTGGGACTACAGGCATGTGCCACCATGCCTGGCTATTTTTTTCTATTTTTAGTTGTCCAAGTAATTTCTTTCTATTTTTAGTAGAGACGGGGGTCTCACTCTTGCTCAGGCTGGTCTCGAACTCCTGAGCTCAAATGATCCACCCGCCTCGGCCTCCCAGAGTGCTAGGATTACAGGCGTGAGCCACCGCACCTGGCCAACGTAACAGGTTTTAAGGAGAGGCCGTTTCTTTATAGGACAAAAGTTTCAGCATAAACAGTCAACTTCATTCTTTAAATTGGTAACTTAATTTCCCCCCCCTTATGTTGAATGATTTTTTTTTTTAAAGGCTTGGAATGTGTTGGGATTTCAAATGTATCAAGTCCTGTGTTGAGGCATTTCTCATTTAATCCTTGTAACAACTCTGTCATGTAGATAGTATTAGTAAGCTCCTTTACACAGGTGCTTGATTAGACTGGCTGAGGATTGTGCCCAAGGTCACAGAGTAACTTGGTGGAGCTAGGATTCAAGTCCAAGTCTGTTACACTCTGAAGCTAGTCCTCCTAACTACTTCCTTGGGCTCCCCAGCTGCCTGGAGTACTGTAAAGGGGAGATAGCAGAATGGGGAAGGCCACCTCTCCACCTATCAATCAAATGTCTGTTCTGATTATGGTCATAAATGAATGAATCTTCACCAAGAAAAACATAAATCGGTTGCATGATCTATAAAAAATGTTGCCTTTGAATGAGTATTACAGGTTATGATCCTCTTGTGACTCAGATTCAGTGGGTCCTGGGCAGGGCTCAGGTGTGTCACTGTGGATAATGGTTGCGTAATCATTTTGTTCCAACAGCCAGTGTATATGAAGAATGACTAGAATTGTAGTTCCGTGCTTGTTTTGGCAGGAAACATTGCCCTGGCCCCAGTTGTCTCATCATACTTAGAGATCTCATAAGGCTTACAGATTGATTTCCTCTTTCTTTCATTTATTTATTCAACACTTCTTTATTAAGCACCCATTATGGGCCAGGGACCAATGCACAATAAATTTGGTGAAACTCATTTGGCTCATAGCTGGAATGAGGCCACTCTTGTGATAACTAGAGTTGTGATTCTATTGTTGCTTATTTCTTTCCCCACGATATCTGCTTGTTTTCTTGCGCATAACATTGCACAAGCGGAATGAACACATTCTCATCAGAAAGCTGCCACCCACTCTAGCCTTCTTGTGTCTCACAAGGCTAAATGTTAAGAGCTTTCAATTTTGAGCTCCTTGAGGTGCATAACAGTGTCTTTTGTTTTCTTCCCCAAAGCCTGACATAGCATCTGGCAGGTGGTAGGTACTCATTATGTGAATTGAAATCAGCAGTGAGGGGCCTATAACGACTCAGATGTGTTGACTTGAACTCTTAGATAAGAAGTATCTTCCTAAGATAAAACTTGGAGGCTCTTGGAAAAAGCTGACATGGGCAACTGTGGCTTTATTAGATGTATGCATATACCATTTACTACAATTTTATTTTTAAGAAAAACGTAATGCTGTTGGCTGTGTTTTCTTCTGCGGCTTTGTTTTTTTCTTTTTTTCTTCCTACTTTCCTTTTTTTTTTTTAATCTTTTTTTTTTATGATTTAGGCCAAAGCTAAGAAGATAGTCTGTGGTTTGTTGGAAGATGTCATTAGGCCTTTTCTGGTCAAATTTGCAATGTAATGTATTTGTAGCTAGTATTTTTATTTTTTGGTCTTTCTCATTTATGTAGTATCATGGTGTTTTCGAGAGGGAGTTTACATTCCTGAATAATGTCTTATCACATAGTAAAGTTTAGTGTGCCATAAAAGAGTAGGCTAATGGGGAAATCACATGGGGAGGGAAATGAATGTGCATGTTTATGATGGGACAGCTGAATTAGTCATAGGATGAGTGAGGCAAGCCCACAGGACAGTTACTTAGTAAGGATAGCATTTCATCTCTCCATGACTCTTCTTATAAAACAGAACGCATACATCATTTCAGAAAGTTAATTTTAAACATTTTTTATAAAAACAATTTTTCTTCTTCAGTTTTTAACTATCCCTCTCCAAATCTAGAATTGAGTCATAGTTTGGACATACAGGTGAATATACAGCTGGTGACTTCCAATTCTAATTCTACCACTTATAGGTAATAGTGGTAGTAATAATCATAATAATGAAGTAGCAATAGCAGCAGCAGCAACAGTAATGGTAACATTTTTGAGTGTATACTATGTATAAGCACTATGCTAAATTCTTTTGCTACATTAATTTTCCTTGTTTCTTTTTAAACTGCCCTTACCCAAAACAAAATCTGGAATTGAAACATGATTTGGGCTTAGAAATGAATATAGAATTGATGATTTCTAATCCTATCACCTATCAGTGGTGGTGGTGGTGGCAATAGTAATAAAATAGTAATGAAAAAATAGTAATGAAAAAATAGTAGCAGAAGCAGCAACAACCAAAAGTGGTAACATCTGTTGGATGCATACTCTGTGCCTGCCCTGTGCTAAATACTCTTCATAAATTATTTTATTTCATCCTTTTACAGATGAAAAAATCGAGGCTCATGAAAGTTAAAGTCAAACAGCTGACGTGAGCAGGGCTGGGGCTTGACCTCCCCAAGCTCTGTGTGCCTCTGGGGCCTGTGCTTTTTGCCTCTACATTACACCAACCGTGAAGTTCTCATCTGCCTCTCTGGCCCCTGTGAAATTCTGCAAACGAATTTCTTTCGTTAAGCTTCGGCTCTAAAATAGAAGCAGCTGAGCGCTGAGTATCTTCCCTCATATGTCCAAGCAACACCTCAAACACACATTATCTAAACTAAAATTTGCAATCCTGTTACACCTTCCTGTCCTGCAACTACTGCTCCTACCCTACCCCTTGCCTGGTAAACACTGCCTACTCAGTCGTGCTAATCCATCATCCCTGAGTATTCCTCCTTTCCCTGCTTGTACCTCCTGAATTAAATATCTCTCTTCATGTGCACTTCACTTTACTCAAGCCCCACTGCTGCTGCCCTCCTAGTGGAGCCCTTTGGAGCCCTTCGTGTGTTTCACCTATTCAAGCCCCACTGCTGCTGCCCTCCTAGTGGAGCCCTTTGGAGCCCTTCGTGTGTTTCACCTGGATCACTACAGACACATTGCAGCTGCTCTCCCTGCCCTAGCCTTGCTTCCCTCTAACCCTTTCTCAGCAGCAGCCAGCACTGTGCACCCACACCCACCTGCACACCCTGTACACTTATAATCTCTGTCCCACATGGACTCATAACTGTTCAAAGAAAAATCATCATTAGTTAATGCTAATACATTGATACTAATACATGATTTTGAACTGGAATACCACTGAATTGATATTCACAAAACCTGGAGTTTAGTCCTGTTTGTCAGTATTGTATAATCTCTTGGATCTCACGTTGTAAATGTGATAGCATTACATTAGGGCTTCGGGTTTCAGTTGGTGTTGCCATTTGGTTTTTGCACATTACAGGGGTACAGATGTTTAGGTTATGTATATTGCCTTTGCCCTGCCTGAGTCAGAGCTTCAAGCATGTCCATCCCCCAGACAGTGCGCACTGCACCCATTAGGTGTGAATATACCCATCCCCTCTTCCCCCTCCCGCCTGCCTGACACCCAACGAATGATACTACTATATGTGCACATAAGTGTTGATCAGTTAATACCAATTTGATGCCCTGGAACTCCATTGTTAACCTTTTTTTTCTGGAAGCATTTAAATCTGCAAACTGAAGTCAAAATGTGAACTCTAAGGTAGGGCACAGTCCCAAGGCTCAGCTGGAGTTCCCTGTCCCGTTTTCCCAGCTTCTGAAGGGTCCTAGAGATGCAGGGAACACATTTTGATGACGCTGGGCCAGAGGATCTCAAGCATGTTTTCTAGCTCCCATAGACTCACCGTGTCTTAAAATATTCATTTTAATTTCTCTTCTTAAAGATAGTCATCTATTCTGTCTGTTGTATGTTGGAAGTTTTAACTGACCTTTGAAATCTACTTGAAAAAGAAAACTGACCAGCATTCTTGCTATTGGGCAATGTGTTCTCATGTGGAGTTAGCTACCCTTCACCATAGAGTCTTGTGGAAACATGATTAGCCTTCTTTGTATGTTTGTCCACCTACAGACGCATGAATGGCTGGGAGGCTTCATTATGATTCTTCGTGTGAACCTACATATATAAGGAAAAATGTCCTCTTGAACTTCACTGTCCAATACAATAGCCAGTAGCCACATTTGGCTACCGAGCACTTTAAATGTGACTAATCCAAATTGAGGTAGACTGTAAATATATACCAGATTTCAAAGACTTAGTATTTTAAAAAGATATTATTAATAATTTTTTATATTTTTTTACATGTCAAAATGGTACTTTGTAGATAGACTGGCTTAAATGTGTTATTAAAATTAATTTAATCTGTTTCTTTTCACTAGTTTTTCTATGAGAAAATTTAAAATTAGTATGTGGCTTGCATTTGTGGTTCGCATTATGTTTCTGTTAGTGCTGCGCTGAGAAAATTGCAGATTCCAAAAATATTAAATCTAAAAAGTGTCCCGCAAATTTGAGAGTGGTGCATAGGGTCAGACCCTAAACACCTATAGGTGGTGTCAATTTTCTCCTAAGGTTCAGAGCTCTAATGGAGTAGCGAGGTCCAGGCTTCATCCTGGTATGTCCAAATGCTGTGTGATTGGATGGCTTCATGCTTTAATATGGCAAACAGAATTTACCAAAATCCTTCCCTTTTCTGTGCCTATTCCAAAGGCCTATGAATCCATTTGTAGTGTAAGGGTCCTGAAGTTACCCCAGTTAAAACTAGGAGGTGATGGAAGAGGGATCCCACTCAATTCATAGTCCAGTGGTCTGCTATTGAGGTCTTTATGAATCTACCCAGCAAAAAGCAACACCTTGTTTCTTAACCTAGAGTCCTTTGGGGATTTGAGAGTAGCAGGGGAGCCACAGTAATATGAATAACAATAATACAACTGTAGCTTCCTATTACAGTAAAGTTTTTCTGCTATATAACTTTTCCATTTTATTTGAGAATATTTCTCCTGATAAGTACCTGTAATAGACTGTATTTTTCAGATATTCAACAAATATTTATTGAGCACCAACTCTGTGCCAGGCACTATTCTAGATCCTAGGGATACTTCAGCAAATGAAACAGGACAAATGGAACTGACATCCTAGGGACATACCCAAATGCTGATGGAGCTGGCCTCCTAGAGACATACCCTAATGCTAAGCTGTAAATCACAGGACTATTACATGGGGTTCTTCCAAGTGCTTTTTGTTTATGAAGTGTTGGGTTAACCTTTGACTTGTAAGGTATTTTCTACTCGGCAGACTTCAGAATTTGCCCTTTTGTTTTCCTTATGTTTATTATTTCCTCCAGAAAAGAAGGTGTGTGGGAGAGGGAGGAAAGCAACAAGTCACAGACTCATTACTTTCTCTTTTCTTAGTCTGCTTTGAACAGGCGATTTTCTCCCACAGGAAACCTAGGCATGGAAACACTTTCCTAACTAATTGGAAGTGACCTTACTGCTGTAATTACAGAGATTTGGGAAATTAATTTTAATTAAAATATGCATCCTTAGCCTGAGAGAGTAAGTAATTTGCTACTTACTCAAGTATAGGTACTACAAGGTGGAAAACAATACATGTGAAAGAATGTTGCTAAATTTTAAAAACATTATTTAGTAGCATTAAAATTGTGGGGGATTATATAGCACTTCTTTGTTAGCTTTCATCCAGTGGTTTTAATGTTTTATATCAAGGATCAGCAATTTATGACAAGTATGACCAGAGAGCAGTCAACTGGATGGGGCCAGTATACACTTCTCCCCCTGCTAACAGGGTTCCATTTCCCTATTATAAGAGCTAGATGCATCACTGTACTTCCTTTGAAAGAATTCACACAGTACACATCCCTACCTGAGCATCTGTGACTCTTTGTCTCTACATCCAAGGTGAATGAAAGGTGGAACCCTACATCATCACTATTAGCATTATATCAGCTCTCAGCTCTCTTTTAGCATTCTTGGTTTTCCTATTCTCTTAAAAGAAATCTGTACTATCAATTGGTTAATGAATTAACTTTCCAGTAACCAGAGAGCCATTTTAGTTTTTTAAGGAGTAAGGAATTGCCTCACAGTTTACCTTTATCGTCAATAAGTTTCTTTTTATCTAAAGAGAAGTTATTTCAGATGCTGCCTTATAACTTTTATGATTCCATTTGAAGAGAAAATCAAACATCTTCTACAGTATTTCATCTGATCAGACTTTTTCTATCAGTGAATGAGAACTTCAGTTGCTGCGTAACTTTAAACATCTTTGATATATACCTGCATTTTTATGCTAATATTGCAATATGTTTTTCAGGTTTTCAATTCAAAAACAGCCGAACTACTTAGTCATCATCAAGTGGAAATAAAACAAGAGTTTCCAAGAGAGGGGTAGGTTTAATATGTAAAGACACATCATATTTGTTAGTCCATCTAACCCTATTTTCCCTGTGGATTTGTAAAGTAAACTTGGCCAGACACCCTCCTGAGAAGAATTGAGAGATTGGTATTAGTCAAGAAAAAAAGCAATAACTTGGTATCTCAGCAAAAACATGTGGGGAATTGATGGCTCAGGAATTCAGTGACAGAAAAGGAAGAGATGATAGAGTAGTATGGCAAAAGACTATTAAATATCATAAATTCTACATTAACTTTGAAGTCACTTAGCTTTGGGTCCATATTGTTGCCAAAATACTGTTTTGCTGATATGAGTGTCAGGTTTTTTTTTTAAATAAGGATATCTATTTTTTAAAAAGCACTCACATATCCTTATCCTAGGATTCCAATTGAAAAAAAAAGCATTCATATATCTTGTCTCATACT